TATTGTTCTCAAGGAAATCGTTCCCCATCAAGTTAAATTTCGATATTGACCAATCTTTGAATTTAAAAATTTAAATTGATAGGATCAATTCCCTTGATTTTTCTTCATTAGCATGTATAACAAATAATTAAAGTTTCAAAGGAAGATTATTCATTTCTTATTTAATTCCTCTTGGCATTTACTCCGATCCCAAGCTATTTCCGAAAGGTAGGCTTAAAACAGGAGAGTTTAATACTCATAGTTTGCACTGTTTATTTGATAATTACTATCAAATATTTATTGGAAACGTGACGTAACAAGAGTAACAGGGGTCTTCTTTTCCGACAAGTTTTACGATGTTCCCCTTTTTAGGAATTTATCAATTTTGATTTACTTTGTTTATTCGACCATCTTTAATTAAAATTTACTTGAATATTACATTTAAAATAAATCTTTGAATTTAAATAATTTTCTTTAGAAGCAATGCTCTAGCAGATCTCTGGGGTTGGTTGGTCCTCAGTCCTTTTCTTCCTTTAGGAAAAAGGTTGAGTTAATTAATAACTCGCAAATTTAAAATGTCTTCATTGACTAAAATCTCAATATTTTATTTGTAATAATTTATCAAAAAAAAATTCAATTCAATTTAAAAATTTGGAAGATTGATTGGTTGAATAAGTCACAATATTTTAATAATTCAATTAAATAATTTGTCAGATTTAAGTTGACATAGTTGATTAGGCTGGGGCCTGTTCTACGACTTGACACGAGCTCATTTTTACGAGCCTCGAAAAAAGTCGGAGGAGCGGGAACCAGCACCCGTGAGGACTGCGGGACCAACGGTCGTCCCGCACGGCCAGAGGGCCACTAAGGGGACGGGTAGGAGCGAGGGGACCGCTGAGACCCCTCAAAATCCAGTGGTCCCCCCGACACCTATAACATCGACCCCGGGGGGGGAGGGGCACGTGGACCCGGCGAGAGCCTTGGGGACCCCGCCAGTCCCTCAACTGAAAAGGAGAAGAGGGCGCCCCAAAGGGCAGAAGGGAAGGCCTGCACTGGCGAGGGGGGAACCGGCCGTAGCTGCGGGAGGGTCTCAACCGACCCTCTTGTGGGCCTTGACGGGTACCCCTGGCCGGAACAGGCTAGAGAAGGGCGGCCCCGGCACGCCCAGTAGGTCAGAGGGGAACCTTAACCCCAAGTAAGGACGCTTCGATGACCTCTGGACATGTACGGCGGGGAGCGGATAGAACGGTAGGGGCGGTGATTGCCCTAACCCTTGTCCAATGCTCCCAGATTAACCTGCAACACTGCAAAGCGGCGACGGCTCTCCTGAGTTGCAGCGAAGTGGTGGAGTAGACAGACATATGCCTCATCCAAGAACCCTGGTTGACAGGGGGCATGGCAAGAGGACTTCAGGGCCAATGAGCTCTTCTTCGCACAGTGGGAACCAGGACCCAGGACTTGCATCTCCGTTACAAGAGCTTGTAATGCCAGGAGAATGGTAAACTTCTGTCACAGGGACCTTGTCGCGGTGATGTTGGGCCTGCGGGGGGAGGGCAGATACGAAGACATTGTGTTCTGCTCTGCCTACTTTCCGTTTGACTCGGCGTTGCCGCCGCCCACGGGGGTACTGAGGAAGCTGGTTCGCTACTGTAAAAGCAATGGGCTGCCACTCATCGTGGGCTGCGACGCAAACGGGCAGAACGTGGTTTGGGGCAGTCAGAACAACAACGCCAGAGGCACATCCCTCTTGGAATACCTCGCAGACGTGGATCTGGAGATCCTAAACAGGGGATCCAGTCCCTCGTTCGTCACTTCTCGCTGCCAATGTGTCATCGACATCACGCTGTGTGATAGGAGGCTAGCGAAACGGTGCGTTGACTGGAGGGTGGACCGGGAGGACACACTATCCGATCACAGACGCATCAAATTCAGCATTGAAGACAGAGCCGGGAAGTTGTAGGGTCCCGCACGCAGGAACCCCAGGACTACCGATTGCACCTCTTTCAAAGAGGAGCTGGAGGCAAGGTTGGGGGAACGGCGGTTGAGGCCCAGCAACGTGCGCAGATTAGAGGATGAAGTGGACACAATCCACGACGCCCTGATCGGCGCCTTCCACAAGGCATGCCCGATAAAAGCGAGCAGGCAGGGGAAAAAAGTGGCATGGTGGAGCCGTAAACTGAATAGACTCAGAGTGCTGCCGAGGAGACTCTGGAACCATGCCTACAGAACAAAGAGCCATGAAGACTGGATTCAGTACAGAAATGTGCAGAGGGAGTACAAAAGACTCATCAAAAAATCAAAGGAAACCGCCTGGAAGGAATTCTGTGATGACCTGGAGGCCCTACCACAGGGACCCAGGTTTCGCAGGGCCTTTTCAGGGGACCAACGCAAGGGCTGGGGGAGATCATACTCCCTAATGGGGAGATCATCACACAGCCCAGCGACATCCTGGAACATCTGATCCAAGTGCACTTCCCGGACTCTAATTTACAGAGGGGGGATTCGCGCACGGTGACGGTTCTGGAGCAAACAGAGAGGGGTGGCCCATACTGGCGCCTAGCCTCGGAAATAATTACGATGGAGGGCCTGAGGTGGGCTATGGACTCCTTCGACATGTATAAGAGCCCAGGCCCCGACGGGATATATCCGGCGCTCCTGCAGAGGGGGGGTACGAAGCTCCTGCACAGGCTGCTGCCAATACTGAGAGCAAGCCTTGCTTTTGGGCATGTGCCCTATAAATGGCGGGAGGTCAGGGTTGTCTTTATCCCCAAACCGGGTAAGTGCAGCTATGACAACGCCAAATCCTTCAGGCCTATGAGTCTGAGCTCTTTCCTCCTAAAAACACTGGAGAGGCTCGTTGACAGGCACATCAAAATGGGAGCTTTGGGGACTAATCCGATTAGTCTCTCT